GCAAATTTTAAATTTGACTGAATTTTAATTTTGACCACAACATATATATCTATCCGGTAGAAACGACATTTATAGTGCATTGGTAGAGCGACTCATGAAATAATATATTTATATATATATTGATATACTACAGGGTGTAAAATACCCTTGCCCCCCCCCCCCCCCCCTCCCTCCCTCTATAACCTAAAGTATCAATGATATCACAAATGTATTTTATACCAAAAGAAAGCGAGTCAAAAAAGGGGTTTCTTGGTACTAAATGGTAAAGGTTATGAAAACCTTTTATTATCGAACTTAAGACATTTTCAGAAATTTTATGCCTTTTTGGCGTAGAAAAGTAAGGTGCCGTTAATTCTAAAACGGAGTAAATTTTTTTTCTTGGATGTTTTTACATGGTTCGATAGAGCTCGTCGAATTCTACAAAACTGTATATATATAAAAAAATCTGTAAGCCATCTTTTTGAGATAAAAAAAATCAAAAAATTACTTGGAAAACCACAAAATACGTTAAAAAAAAACTTCTTTTGTTTATATGGAAGAAAAACATTTGGTTTTTAAATACAATTATCTATTTTCATTATTTTTACTACCGCAGATGTTTCGAAATATATTCATTAGACGCAGTTTTTCACGCTGCATCGAATGGGTACATTTCGAAACATCTGCGGTAATAAAAATAATGAAAATAGACAATTTTATTTAAAAACCAAGTGTTTTTCTTCCATATAAAAAAAAGAAGTTTTTTTTAACGTATTTTCTGGTTTTCCAAGTAATTTTTTGATTTTTTTATCTGAAAAAGATGGCTTACAGATTTTTTCAAAATATATACAGTTTTGTAGAATTCGACGAGCTCTATCGAACCATGTAAAAATATCCAAGAAAAAAAGTTACTCCATTTTTGAATTACTGACAACTTTAGGCCACCCCATCGTCAAAAAAGTCACTTTTCGTCAAAATCATCGAAATTGAGAAAAATGCATAGGAAGATAGCCCGTGATCTGCTCTTTCATATATAATAAAAGTTTTTACTCGGCATCTCCTTTTTTTATCCACCGAAAAATGTTGTAGGTTTTCATCACCGCCCTATTCGAAAAACAGGCCGTGTTTTTAGAAAAAACCAAAAAGTCATTTTTCGTCAGAACGTCGGTTCAACGACATATCTCCAGCAGAACTCCATCACAGTAAGAGATAAAGCCAAATCTTTTTCTTTTTTGTTTGAAAGCTTATGTACAGGGCTAGCGACTCTCGTGACTCTTTTTTTTAAAAGAAGCTTTTTTATTATCATAGAAGATAACCTCTCTATCGGAGCAGTGCAATTTTTAGAGAGGTTTTTTGAGTCATTGAACTTTCGCTTCGGTTTTTTTCGCCTAAAAAGTAAGATTTAAAAAAAAAGGGCCACGAAACTCGCTTTATTCTGACATGCTCTTTCAAACAAAAACAAAAAAAAATTAAATGCCTAGAATGAAGACCCACAGAGAAAACTAGGATATACTAAAGAGCTATTTTTGTGAAACTCACGTATGTTTTCAAAGAAAATAGTGAGTGTAAGTTTTCAGTTCGAGGTTTGGTGGCTCCCCCTCTCCCCTCTCCTCCCTCCCACCCCATTACAGACACATAGCAACGAGAAAGAGAACATTACAGACAATCTCCCATTACAGACGTTGACAACTTTATGAAAAACAAAAATTTTCTATTCGAAATTGAGAGATAAAAATATAGGATTTCTTAATAATCGATTATTGTGAGAAAAGAACAATTATGTTCTTTTTGAGAAATTTTAAATCTTGGATATTTTGTCATTAGTATAATGAAAGCAAAGAAGATATGTGAGTTCCACATGTTCAGCCCTAAAGGGGCTGCACTAACAAGCTTTGTTTTTTTTTTGAGACTATAAAGTTATGTATTCGAAAAGTATTTATATATTAAATAGATGTCATCTTGACATTGACGATATATATGTATATTTCATAAACTGTAAGCTTTTTCTATGTTTTTATTTTTTGTAGAAATTATAAAAGGATGTAACTATGTACATAAGTATATATTGGTAAAGATATATATATATATGTATGTATATTACCAAAAGTATGAGAAGAAGAAAAACAAAACGTAAGAAGATAAAACACTCACAACGCGTATATATTATGTATCCACTTCTGTTATAAAGAAGAGATAAAAAAGAAAAAAAAAACAATGTCAAGAAAACAAGTCGAAACTTGAAATGATGTTAATTTTTGCAAAACTTCAAATGAAATTTTCACTTTTTTCTCTCTATGTGCTTTCTGGCTCTCTCACATTGTCTTCTTTTTTATTTTATCATTTTATTCTCTTGTTTCTCTCAATTTCAGTGATTCCATTACGTGGAAGTTCAATTGACATTCATCCAAATGCTCGATGGCAACAGAATGGTCTCACTGTTGCTGGAGGAAATGGAGAAGAAAATGGAATCAATCAACTCTCATACCCATGGGGTTTGTATGTTGATGAAGATCAAACAATATATGCCGCTGATCGATCGAATCACCGTATTGTGGAATGGAAATGGGGTGCGACGAGTGGCCAAGTGGTTGCCGGTGGAAATGGACAAGGAAGTGGGGCTCATCAATTGAATGAACCACAAGATGTGATTGTCGACAAAGAGAGAGATTGTCTAATCATCTCCGATACTTCGAATAGAAGAGTGGTTCGATGGCCTCGTCGAAATGGGACAAGTGGAGAAACAATCATCTTCAACATCTATTGTTGGGGTTTGACAATAGACGAGAATGGATCTCTCTATGTCGTTGACAATGGAAAAAATGAAGTGAGACGATATCGAAGAGGAGAATCTGAAGGAACAGTGGTTGCAGGTGGCAATGGAAGTGGAAATCGTCTCGATCAACTCTCTTACCCACGATACGTATTCGTCGATCGAGATCATTCAGTCTACGTGTCTGAATATGGAAATGATCGTGTGATGAAATGGGTGGAAGGTGCAAAACAAGGCATTGTCGTGGCTGGTGGTCGAGGACAAGGAAATGGTCTTACACAATTGTCATGTCCTGAAGGAGTCGTTGTCGATCAATTGGGCACTGTCTATGTGGCTGATGGATGGAATCATCGAATCATGCGTTGGCCCAATGGAGCCAAACAGGGAAGTGTCATTGTTGGCGGAAACGGTGCAGGAGGACAATCGAACCAACTCAGTGTGCCCTTCGGTTTGTCATTCGATCGACACAGCAATCTCTATGTCGTCGATAACAGAAATCATCGAGTACAAAAATTCAACATCGAATCCAATAAATAACGGACTAAAGTAACTTGAAAAAAGAAAAAAAAAACTTTGTACACTCTTTTTTTTAATTGAAAGTTTGTTTTGTTTTTGAGAAAATAGAAAATAAAATGTGAGTACTAACTAATAATAAATGACTCAACCCAGGAGCCCACCACGCCGAATTTTTTCAAGGTTTCCGAATCCTTGAAAAAATATCGAATTCCCTTTATATTAAAGTAAAAAAAATTTTTTTTTCTCACATTTTCTTCATGAAAAGTGCCTAAAAATTCTTGTAATAATACAGATTCTTGTACAGCACAGTTGTCTGATGATATCTAGAAATCGCCTGCGCTTCAAAACCATCAAAATCAAAGGATTCCAGAAGACTTTGCATAAGACTAGATGCACAGGAATCTCATCGTAACTGATATGCACGGAATTCTTCAGGAGCATTGAAAATCCTTCTGAATCCTTAAGATATTTGTACAATACTCCTTTGCAGTCGTGTCTGACCATCGTTGATGAGTCAAAGGTCTAGAAACATAAGAAATTTAGGGTTTCCAGAAGCATTTGCCTTGTTCAAAATTCATGAAACTTGATAATTATTGATACATAAAAAAAATTCGTGAGAATCCGTTTCAATCCTTGAGACATTTTCATAATTGTGTTTCGCTATTACATCGGAGCATTCGCGTTGGTTTAGATATCTAGAAACCATGGAATTCCTCGGTTTTCAAAAGTCTTTCTCTTATACGTTATCCCGAAGTCAGGATAATTAATGATGCGCAAGGACATCACAGGAATCCTTGCGAATCCTTGAGATAATTGCACAGTGATGCTCCATAAGACTACCTAAGCGTCGCTGATGGTTCAGATCTTTAGAAAGCCAAGGATTCTAGGGTTTTCAGAAGACCTTTCCTCTTCTGCAAAGACCATGGGAACCTCGTAATACGTGGGACTCAAACAATTTCCAAGAATAATTGCCAATCCTTTAGATAATTGCACAATAATGTTCCACAATCCGATAGGAGCTTTGACGATAGTCCTGATGTCTAGAAATCTAAGGATTCACAGGTTTTCAGAAGACACTTGCTGATGGTCACTTCGTGGAAATTTCACAATGAATGATACCCCCAAGTAATCCTTGGAAAAGGTTTCTACATCTTTTGAATCCGTTAGATATTTGTACAATAGTGTTTCACAATGATGCCTCAGCATTGTGTGATGGTTCATGTGTCCAGAAAACCAAGGATTTGTGGCCTTCCAGAAGACCTTTTCTTTTTCGGAAATCAATAGAATTTCTTAATAAGTAGTACACAAGTAATTGTTGTGATTGCTTGTGAATCCTTGAGACAATTCGACAATACTGTTCCATAATCATACCTGAGCATCGACACTGAACCAGATGTGTCGAAAATATAGGTTTTCTAAGGTTGTAACAAGATGTTTTCATTATGGAACGTCCATGGAAACCTGACAATACATTACAGTCAGAGAATTCTTGGATTCGTTTAAAAAAAAACGATTGTCAAGTCATGTCTGAGCATCGCTGGTAGTTGAATAGCATAGAAATCCAAGGATTCGGAACATGACGCAAGACGTTTTCTAGTGTAAAATCTGTCGAATCCTGATAAAATATTACACACGAGGAAGCGTTTGGGAATTCTTGATATTTCTGCAAAATGCTCACTGGACAGACATGTGTGAATATCAATTGATGGCCGAGATATGTCGAAATCGAAGGATTCCAAAGATACAAGAAGACGTTTTCCTTATGCATAATATAAGGAAACCTCGTAAGACATGATAACCAAGAAATTCTTGGGATTCGTCTGGATTGCTTTAATATCCATACGATTTCTATAACATGCGATTGCCAAACAATGTCTGGCCATCACTTATAATCCAGTCGAGTAAAAATCTAAGGTTTAGAAGGCGTTCTGAAGGCTTTTCCTTACCACATGAATGAATCCGATACTGGATCCGACCGGATCTTATCAGATTCAATCAACCAACAAAGTTCTATGGGTATCAGGACTCGGAACTACTAACGGATCCCACGGGTGAAACCTGTTTTATTAATTGGGTACTAATTAGTACCTGATTACATTAGTAGAGGTCAGTCAAAAGCTCGTGTGAGATTACGTCAAATTCCTACGGGAGAATCCGGTAATATCCAATACTAGAGATTCGAATTCCGATAGGATTTCGTTGATGTTATAAAATCTCCATACAATTCGATCGGATCCGATTATCGAAATGATTCACCTGGGTTACGCAAAAGCCATGGATACCTCATAATGCATCATATGGAGAGAATCCGTAGGAAATCTTAACATACCTGCACAATTCGATACCAAAATGATTCCTGAGGATTCTCGATGGCGACGATTCCTTGAAATGGAACGATTCCAAATGTTTCAGAAGACCTTTCGTTGTACAAAATACATGAGAATCTCATAATACGTTATACAGCAGGGTTCGAAACGAGCTGCTCGATCCCGTCGCGGCCATGGTTTTTTTAATACTTGTTGCCAGACTACAAGCCTGTTTGAAATACCAAATGTTGTCAAAAAAAGAAAATTACAAGTAAGAAAATAGTTGAATTATACGTGCGGTTAATATAATAAACTCTAGAAATTGCTCAAAAGCGTTTCATCTCTTGTCTACATGCAATGTTCTGTACTGCATCAAGTACGTTAATTGACGTGAAAAGTGATTGACAGAAGAAATTTGTAGAAAATAAACTGTTATCATGAGTAGAAGCTGAGAATATGACTTTATCAAATTGTTCAATTTTAATTCACCAGGGAATTCGTAGAAAGTATAACATTTTTTTTTTCAAAAACATAGCAATCCTATGAAGTCTATTCCTGTTTTTCCGAACGAAAACTTCACCGATTTTGGCCGTAAAGTGAGTTACGGCTTAATAAAGGATACTCTGTGAGGATATCGAAAAACTTTTTGATATCTTAAGATTAAACGTTCATTTTCGAACTTTTGATGTCAAAATGTGTTGTCTTGTCGTTCACAAACTATTTTCAATGGCGGGCTGATTCACTGCATGGTCAAAATAGAAAATAAACTTTTCTCCCAGAAATATGTTGCGTGTCTCAATGATGCACTCTAAGAGAAATTCTGACATAGAGAATTGAGTTATGCATTGCAATCGTTAATGAATTCAAATACTTAACAATATATTCTTGTATATTGTACTCAACAAACAAGTTCAATTTATCTCATTCAAATTTCCTTTTAATTTCAAGAATCTAGGCTGATCATCTTCAGCATTGGAGTCTTTACTAATACGGCGACGGCATTTGGAAATTTCGAAACTGAATAATGATTTAAAGGATAAGAAATATCAGTATATTCCAATATCGGATTTATAATAATGTCAAAAACTCGATGAAATAGATGTATTTTGCATATTACTTTAATCACGACATTACATGTAGGCAACATTAAGATGATTAATGAATTACTAAACAACTTTGCCTACAATTAAAAGATTCAGTGATCCTGAAGATGAACAGACCTAATTAATAAATATCAAAATGCTAAAAAACTTGCCCATTTAGCTTTTAACGATAGAAAGTGAAAGACTACCTTGACGAAGTATTAATTTTGATACATGCCCAAGTTGTTGCTTTAGTTCTATAGTTTTTGATCTATAATGATTCAGAGAAAACATAGCGGGAATATATTTATTTATTGGTTTAGATTTGCTCAGTTTCTATCACTCGATGAATTGACAATAAGAGATTTATCATATTACCTGTGTCTCATGTATTTCTGTAAATGCTAATACTTTTTTCGATTGAGGATGAGATATCATTTATTTGGTTAAACTTCCACTTATCGAAGCAACTTCTGCAATAAACTCGTTCAATATCTTACGTTTTCGTTCGTTCTTTTGTGCAATTGACTCCAATGACAGCAATGTAATTATCGTTTTAGCACATTCAGTGGCTTTATGATAGTAAAAATGCTTTGTACTATTATTGTTCCGAACATACTTGCAATTTTTCCTATACATAAACAACCGAAAAGATTCAGACAAAAATTTCACAACGCCAGCATAAATGAAAATAGATTGAAAACTTTCGATTTTCGCATTCATACATCGACGACAACAGCTCGAATCTTTTCAAAAAAATCGTTGGCGGCAGCAACTCAGCCGTACGACTTACACATCTACCTGTTTCGAGCCGTGTTAACATAGTCTACGAAAATTGAAACGATATTCTATGTTTTTTTTTTCGTTTTATTTTATGTACGAATAATAACTTAATAGAGGGTACATAAATGTATAGTATATGGCACGCGCCGATAGATCGACCACATATAGATAGCTTGTAGTTGTATTCATAGGCGGTGGAGTCATTAGGTTTTGATAGGCTCGAAAAAATATAATAGTTTTCTAATATTGTTTAATTTTCATATTCTTCTGACACAAGACGTATTTTTAGAAGGTCACTCCATATTATCACTACTGCAAAGTCGTGCTCAATGAGATATCTATTGAATTTCGTTAGCATATATACCGACATCGAATTCTTGACTCTCAATGTAAGACAACTGAATTTAGTTTTTTGGCGAACTTCTATTGAAAATATAAGTTCTGAATTCTAAATACTAGAATTATAACATATTACTTCTTTTGTATTCTGATATCAGCTAAACCTTTGGGGATGGTGGTACAACCTTTGTGCCACCTGTTTTTTTCAAGAAATAAAGTATTGTTCTTTTCTTACACTAAAACATTAGGTCTGGAAGGTTATAAAGGTCATATGTTGCTTCATTTGTCATCCCATGTATATCTTTTTTTTTCTTCCTGACTTATAGATTCTTCTCAGAGATTTTCACTTTTCATTGCTCTCGTATATACACGTATATCTACTTCTGTTCTCATTGATGAAATTAAGTTGTTCTTCATTCTGCCATAGAATTTTCGCTTTTCTTTCGCTACAAAATATTGATGTGTCGTGATTTTTTAAATAAACGACGTGAAAACAGTTATCACATGAACTCTTAACTTATTTTTTCTTATTGATTACTCAACAAACGTTGTTACTTTCTCATTGAAAGGGTATTTAAAGAACTTGTATTTTTGACTACTTTATGTTTTGTTTATATTAGTGAAACTAAACAGAAGGAATTCTATGGAAATAACGAAGTCAATAACGAGTCATGTCATTAATACAATAGTGAAGACAACCACGAGAGTGACTCCGATTTTAATTATAATGAATTAGCACATAGTTTAGACGAACTTTGAATTTCGAAAGAAGATACGGATGCAAGTGAAGAAAAGATGAATTCTATGAATGAAAGTCATATAGCCGATGACGATTTTACCCTAATTTCTCTCAAGAAAGTGACTTCAATTTCAGTTTTCGGAAGTTTTTCCACCGAAGAAGTTTTAAAACTAATTACTGATCACACAAACATCTATCGAAATGAAAAGAAAGGAAGAAAAGTCAGAAAAGTCAGAAAAAAAGTCAATAACTAGAAGAATGTGAGCAGGAAAAATATTGAATCGTTTCTTGGAATAATTATTGTACTGGAAATCAATGACTTGCCAAAGACGAAACTTTATTCGAGTAAAGACATTATTTTTCGTAATAGTTTTGTCTCTTCAATTATATCAAGAGATCGTTGTTTTCTTCAAATTTTTTATAATTCCCTCGACTGTAGGGAGGGTCATATGAAAAAAAATGGGTTCTGTGTTTGTGTGTCTGTATCGGGGTCAAAAGAACATCAGGGTCAAAAAAAAACATCCATTTAAAGTTCTTTTCTATAAAAGTTGACGAAAGTAAATCGGGGTCAGAGAATCCGAATTTGAAGTCAGCTTCTCGAAATTTTGAATTGAATTCTTTTGGCTTAGGAGAAAAGGCTTTTTTGAGAAAATAATTTTTTCTCAAGTGTAGGAAGGGTTATATGAAATAAAATAAATTTTCGTCTGTTTTTGTGAGAGTGAAAGGTGAAACGGCGTAAAAAACGTTGGCTAAGTATTCGATTCTCGTGCTTTTAATGTTGAACTTTCAACCAATTCGATTTTTCAGATTGAAAATTCAGTCAATCCGACATCTATGATAAGTTCTCCCTTAATCAGCTGTTTCATATCTGGGTGTCCATGGATGAGACTTGTATACTTCTGTCTGATACAGTCGAGGATCCAGTGAGCTGAACCCACGAACGTTACTTGTTTATAACTTCTAGCTTTATCTCAATCGGATGAATTACATTGCTATCTTCTAGCTCTAACTATTTAACTTAATTCAAATTAAAAGTTTAATTTTATTGACATGGTTGCATTGTATTGTAATATATAGGATATACTCCCAAGTTTGACTTCAGTGTGAATTTTGAATTCTATTTTTGCCTATTATATAAAATATAAGGACTTCTTAAGCAAAGATTTCTTCATTATTCTTTCGACTGAAAATTCACACTGAGTCAAACAAAGACTAATAGATAAAACAGTAAATTCAGTTGTGTTGTTTATATTTCAAACACTCATATCTATCTTTTGTTTATTATCAATAATTTCGACTATGTTTATTTTCATCTCTAAGTAGAAAATAAAATTTTCACTTTTATGAGTATTAATAAATCGTATTTTTTTATCAATAAAACACAAGAAATAAAACTACATTTTCATTGATTTATAATTTAAATCTTCTGAAATTATTTTTTCATATAGATTGATAATGGAATGTTTTAATATTGTACAAAAATTAAAACTAAAACGATGCAATAGATTTTATTCTTTTTTTTTCTTTGAAAGTCTTGTTTCTGAACAAAAAACCAACACAAAAATTTTAATTATTGTAAAAGTAGAACAATTACATTCAATAGATATGTTTACAAAAAATTAGATATTTCTTCTGATTGTACCAATTAAATTACAAATATCTCGTGAATTTCTTAGCAACATGAAATCAATATTTATTTCTACTTCATACTTTTGTTTCATTTCAGTACCAATGCGTGCAAGTTCTATTGATATTCATCCAAATGCAAAATGGTCAACGAATGGTATCACTGTTGCTGGAGGAAATGGATAGGACAGTGAAACCAATCAACTCTGGCTCCCATGGGATTTGTACGTCGATGATGATCAAACGATATATGTCGTTGATGCTGCAAATACCCGTATTGTGGAATGGAAATCTGGTGCAACGAATGGAAAAGTGGTGGCTGGTGAAAATGGAGTCCATCAATTAAAATGGCCACGAGATGTGATTATCGACAAAGAGAGCGATAATCTCATCATCAGCGATTGGGAGAATAAAGGGGTAGTTCGATGGCCTCGTCGAAATGGTACTCGTGAAGAAACAATTATTTCAAATATCTCTTGCATCGGTTTGACAATGGACGACAATGGTTTTCTCTATATCGTTGATGCAGGAGAACATGAAGTGAGACGATATAAAATTGGTGATACTAAAGGAACAGTAGTTGCGGGTGGCAATGGACAAGGAAATCGCCTCGATCAACTCGACTATCCCCGCTACGTATTTGTTGATCGAGATCATTCAGTATACGTGTCTGAATATGAAAATCATCGTGTCATGAAATTGGAAGAAGGTGCAAAACAAGACATTGTCGTAGCCGGTGGTCAAGGACAAAGTCTTACACAATTGAATAAACCTGAAGGAGTCGTTGTCGATCGATTGGGTACTGTCTATGTGACTGATTATGGGAATCATCGAATCATGCGTTGGCCAAAAGGAGCCACACAAGGAAGTGTCATTATTGGTGGAAACGGTTATGGAGCACAGTCAGATCAACTCAATGGTCCCGTAGGTTTATCATTCGATCGACATGGTAATCTCTATGTAACCGAATTTGGAAATGATCGAGTACAAAAATTTAATATCGAATAAACTCAATTCGTATGATTAATTTTTTTTGTTTCGTTCTTTTTTTTTCTCTTTCAAATAAATCGTGATTGAATCAAAAAATGCATTCAAATTTGTTGTATTCTCGTGCACACGCGCGCGCGACCAGGAATCACCCTGGTGAAGCCATGGAGGGCGTAATGCTCATGCACGCGCGGGAAGACCCACATCATTCACATGCACCCATCCGATGTCATATGTCAGTGGGTCTGGGGGCCCGATCGTGTTGCCATGGACACCAAAGCAGTTCCTGACTGGGCTTTTAGAGACTACCAGGAAGTCCTTCTTATAAGACGAACATAACCTCAACGTACCTCCTCCCCCTTTAACACTCACTTAACTGAGTCGCATCTCAAAAGAAAGAAAGAAAAAAACTCACCCGTTGATGTTGAATGATGACATCTCTAAAAGGAAAAGAAAAAAAAAATATTAAATGATAAAAAAAACAAGATAACTTACCCCTCTATTATCTTTTTCTTTATTGATTAACGGCTAAAATTTAAAGAAAATACATAAAAAAGATCATAAGAGGACTTACTACTCTGCATATGATCGTAAAAAGAAGAAAAAGAAGAAAAAAAAATAAAAACTAATACCTACATTTTTTTATCGTCTTGTATTGAATGGAATTGTTTAATTTTGTATCGTCGAAATCAATCTAAAATATAAAAAGGAAAGATTATTATATGATTCAATAAATTGAATGATTTTACATAGAAAATCATTCATATTTATCAGAGATGTTCATGGCGGCGCTGCCGCTGCCGCGCCGTCACCGCCACGGCGGCAGCGGCAGAGTTTTTAAAAGCTCATCGCGGCAGCAGCAGCATTTTTTTTCGAGGACATTGAAAAACTGCATGAATTTAATAGAATTTCATTGTTTACAAATGAAACACCCCGAGACTGAATGAATCTAATGGACTAGTACCAATATTTCTGGTTCAATACAGTTGCAGCAGTGAAAATTGAAACACTTTTTTGAAAACCATCGCGGCAGCGGCAAGTTTATTACTCATCGCGGCGCGGTGACTTTTTTTTTTATAAACCATCGCGGCGCGGCAGCGGCGCAGTAACTTTTTTTTTCTAATACCGCGGCGCGGCAGCGGCAGAGTTTCAGCCGCGATGGACATCTCTGATATTTATATCGTAAAAAATCGATAATTTTCTTTTTTTTTCGCCAGAGAGTGATCAAAAGACGATAGTAATCAAACTATCATCAACATAGACACATACATTAAGATAAATTCAATCACAAATATCTCAATGTATGTGTATGGATAATGCTTAATTGACGTACACGATCATTATGTCAAGTTATCATTGATCATCAATGACAACATGAAGCATAACTTACGAACGGGAGAAGAAAAGAAAAACGATTTTGTTGACCTATATTCCTTTTCTCTCTTGTATGTTCATTTGTGAGTACACGAAGCCGACCAATACATACAACACTTGAGTATGTTTAGGCAACGTCACAACATGTTCTTATGCAATTATGAAGGTAAATTTTCTAACAATTTTTAAAATAATTTGTTTTATTTTATTTAAAAAAAGGTTAATGATCCAAGTGTACTATCTTAACTAGATAATTTTATTTATGATCTTTACACTATGTCAAAAGATGCCAGTGAATCAGAAAGCTCAACATTAATAATTCTCTATAATTGCATTTAATACATAATGAATATATGAATGATTTTATTTTCTTTTTGCTTCATTAATTTTTAGAATTTTATAAATATCATTTTCTTCGACTTTCTCAAAAAAACAAATCACTATCAAAATTATTAATCTTTAATTCATTTTCAAATTTATTTGGATTTTCTTTTTTTTATGTTTATCAATATGATCTCAGAGAGAAATGAAATAAAATATTTGTTCTACTCGATGTAAAGCGGTTTTTGTTATAGAGTCATCACCTTATTAATATTTACATCCAATTCTAATAAAGCTTTTATATCAACAATATTTCCTTCAAAACATCTTCTTTGCAAAGCAACATCTAAATTCGACGTTTTATGTTTTTTTTAAGTGTATAAGACTGACTAGACATAGCTTCTTTCTCTTTGCTCTTGTTTAAGAATATCTGTTATTAAAGACATGATTTTTGAAGCATTTTCATGAAATTTCGAATGCATACTAAACGAAAAATTTTTAATGATTTAAAAAATTCTATATTAAAATTAAGAAAATAATCAATAACTTTTGTAATACTTTGTTTTCCTTCAATTAATTCTAACTCGAATTTGAATTTTCTTTATCTCTTTCATTTTATTTTGATAAATTGAACTTCTTATCTTTCAAAA